GGGGGGGAAGGGGGAGTTGAAAATCACGATAGGGTTTTATCTTCCCCCCCTCCCCCTTTTTTCTCCTGCCCTTCTGGTGGGAGCCTGAAAAACATGACAGGATTTTATCTCCCCGCAACTGCTTCTTCTCCCCCACTCCAGGTCCGTGCCTTCCACCACGCCTTTAGCACCAATGACTGCTCACGAAATGTCTACATCAAGAAGAACGGCTTCACGCTGCACCGCAACCCCATCGCCCAGAGCACGGACGGGGCGCGGACCAAGATCGGTTTCAGCGAGGGCCGCCACGCCTGGGAGGTGTGGTGGGAAGGCCCGCTGGGCACCGTGGCCGTCATTGGCATTGCCACGAAGCGGGCGGCCATGCAGTGCCAGGGTTATGTGGCCTTGCTGGGGAGCGACGACCAGAGTTGGGGCTGGAACCTGGTGGACAATAACTTGCTGCATAACGGGGAGGTGAACGGCAGTTTCCCCCAGTGCAATAACGCGCCCAAATACCAGGTGAGTGAGGGTGGAAGCTCCACCTTGTCTGACGGCAGCTGGCTCTCAAGAACCTCCTCCCTCTCATGTGTAGGCTGTCTGCTGAATTGGTCCTAAATGCCCACCTAAGGGTGTCTCTGCCTTCCCTGCAGAAGCAAATTATTCTGCCTTGTGAGGTCTTTCCCCCTTCATTTACTGCTTCCTCAGGTTGTACCTGTATGTGGTATTCAATGCACCTGACCCTCTGTTGTTTCCACCCTTTTATATCAAATACTGAGTGCGAAGCATGTACCATGGGTGTCTGTTTAGACACCATGTTGATTTTTGAACCAAAAGCTGTAAAGACTGTTGTAGTCTTCTGAAGTAATTACTTGCGCCACAGCAAGGTGAATGTCTGTGGTATTTTACCCCTTTGTTGTAAGGCAGTGTGAGCTGAGGTCAGTGCTTAGGTAAGAGTCTTCCTGCAAAAACCTGCAGCAATGCTGAGTGTTGCTTGTTTGCTTGCTGGCAGCATTCCCATAGGTGACATCCCGATGCTGGGATGTAATGTTCAGATAATTTCAGGTTATTAAAGAGCAAGTGCCATTCCACCTTTTGTCCCAATGGAAGTGCTTATTTTTGTTCTTCTGGCTGCTCACACAACTACATTTTGACTGCTGGATTTCCTTGTGTTACAACTTAAAGTGCATGTGTTATAATTTCTGTCTCATGATACTGTGGCTTTGTATGAGTATTGCCTTATGTTTCACTTGTAGGTGAAGATCTGTATCATAACTTGTACATGATACTCCTAAATTTCATGTAAAAGATAAACCAACAAGCACTTAATTCTGTCTGAATGTTATGCCAGCTGTTTTGGGGAATAATAACTAAAATTAGTGTAGTTTAAGAATCTTAGGTGTCTTTCCATTTGCATGTTCCCCAGCGTGAAGATTGGGTTGGTGCTTTCCAGACCAACCCTTTGTGGTCGTTTTTTTGCTGTCCTTGTCTGGGCCTCTATGCAGCAACAGGGTGAGGAAAGGTTTTGCAGCTGAGAGTCCCACTGGGGACTCAGGGGTGAGCACAGTCACTGCTTCCTCTGTGAAAACTGTTGAGAGCTCACATCGATGGTCCTTGGGAGCATTTTGTGTTGAGTAAGGCATGCCCAGCGATCTGCTCATAGAAAATGTACTTTGAGGAAACACAGGTGTTGGTGAGAAGGAAAATGTGTTGGCTCGAAGGAATCCCCAGCGCTGAGGCTGTCTGGTGAAGAATTGGAAGTTTGTGCCATGCCCTGCTATGCTTGCTACTGGTGCCTGCGACTTGTATTTATGTGTAAAATAATGTGTACTGGGTAAACACAGGGAGCACCGTGCATGCCCAGATCTGAGGTTCTTGCTGTGTCCAGTGTTGGTTTCACTCTGTGTGTGTATATGTATATATTATGTATTATATTATATATAATATATTATGTATTATGTTTTTTACACTTATTTTGCCTGAGCTGTGCACTGGAATTTCCTTCTGCCTTGGTGAGGGAATACATCTGTCAGCGACAGCACCTGCATGGTAGTGTGTTCTGGTATAGTTTGTATGGGACACTTACCTTTCTAAAATAAGTTCATTGTCTTTAAAATTGCTCCTCTCAGAGTGGTTACTGCTCAGTGATAGTAACAGCTAAATACAGAGTTCAGGTAACTTGGAAGCCATTACGAAGTTTCCAAAATCTCGGTTTCCAAAACTCCACAGTATTCTGAAGCAGGTGCCACAAGGGGTTGCATTTATTATCGTGTGGGTGGTTAGATACAGGCTGCGTTGGTGAACGGGCGGCAGAGGTGCTGGGGATCCTAGCACATTGGGGAGAAATTGAGAAATCCTCATTGTAAAAGTGATGCAGTCATGAGGAACAGGAAGGCTTTGCTTTAAAATCATCTTCATAATATGGGCAATGCTTTATTTTTGTATCTCTGTTTGAATATGCTGACTCTTTTTCTGTGGTTTGTTTTTTTTATTTCCCTGTCCCCCTTCCTGTCTCTGTTTCCAGATAGGTGAAAGGATTCGAGTGATCCTGGACATGGAAGACAAAACATTAGCGTTTGAGAGGGGCTATGAGTTCTTGGGAGTTGCCTTCAGAGGACTGCCAAAAGTTTGCCTGTATCCAGCAGTGTCTGCTGTGTATGGTAACACAGAAGTGACTTTGGTCTACCTGGGAAAACCTTTGGATGGATGATGTGGATTGTTGCATTGGGACATGAAGATGTGGATGACTGGGAGGAGAAATCTGCATGTTGGTTAGAGGGAAACGTGTATTAAAGGAAAAACAAAAGTGTGGGTTTGTGTCCAAGAACCATCGAGGCAATTGTTGTGAAATGGAGGACCAGCCATACTTCAGGAATTGCGTTCCGTTTCCTCTGTCTACCAGGCCAGAAAAATCCTCAGGGTTGCAGTTGGTTGAGTGGGAAGCTGACACATGCATGTTGCAACAGATTTCATTGCTAATATGGCAGTGTGTGACCTCAAATATTTAAGAAAGGATTTGATACGAAACTGCTTGAGGAAATGAACCTGAGATTTGTAAGTAGCGTGTTTTGTGAAAGACTCCCATTTTAAAACTGCTTGTTCCTTCCCTTCCCTCCTTTGGGCCAGTGTGGGTGCCGGAGGAGAGAGAGTCTGGTTGGGTTTTATTTACAATTTTTAACATACTGGGAAGCATGGTCTGTCTGGACTGCCCTTCTCTAGTATAACAATACAAAATGTGTGCAGCTATTTTTAAGTGTATTTTAAGGGTTGTATATACAGAACACAGTGAAAAGAAAGGGTTTGCTTTATTCTAACTGGGACATAATTTCTTAAAGGGAAAAAAAAACAACCCAAACAAACCCCACTACATGGCATCAAAAAATACGCCTCGGACAGGTATATAACATTCATGTAAGTGTACTTCCTCTGTTGTATTGTAAAGCATTTTGGGATGCTCTTGTGGAGTACGGTGCTACATTGGGTAATTTTCTGTGAAAGCTTCCATAGCTTTAGCAACAGTTTTGTTCTCTGTAGGAAACGCAAAACATTTTCCCCGTGAGTTTCCTTTCGCCAAAATTTGCGGTCCCCTTTAGGAAAGGAAGGCGCAACAGAGCGGTGAGCTTGTCTTCCTTTTGACAGCAAAACTACAACCTTCTAAAGCATCCTTACGTTTTCTAATCACTGTTGCAAAATGTTTCAAAATAATGAGGAAGGAGCCTTCAATTTGTGTCCAGACCTTGTTTTCAGCCTAAATGGCTTTATAAGGTTTGGCTGAACCCTTTTTTAATTCATTAAAATCCCCCAGTATCCAAGTATTCACCTTTATACCCAAGGGCATAAACATGTGAATACTTTTACCTGAGTACTTGCTTATTTTCAGTCAGGGTGAAAAAATGCTCACCGACCCTTTGGTGGGGATTCTGGATCAGGTTCAACGTTCGGGCTTTTCACTTGCACTGTTTTCTAAAAACCACGTACAAACCCCGCTGGTACGTCAGTGTGCCGGCATACATGGGCTGGGGTGGCTGTGAAGCTGAGGGATGTAGTAAGGATGGATTTTCTGGTGAAACCGCTTTCTTCTGAGGTTGAAAGATCTGCAGGGAGCCCCAGAAGGGCTCCTTTTAACAGGGCACTCAAATCTGCAAGCCCTGTGTCCAGCTCTTGACTCGTTTCTCATTTGTTGGTGTTTCCCAGAGCTGTCTCAACTATTTCAGAGCTGGATGTGCTTTTTGGAGAGGGAGAAGGAAGTGTTTATACAACTCTTTTTCTGCTTTGTTTGCGCTAGAGAATGCGAATCGCTTAATATCGGGCACTGGGAGTTCTCTGAGCACAGAAGAGAGGAATTCCTCTTGGGCTGTTGCTTGTTTTCCCCTGCCATTAGTCAGTAACGCGAGGAGAATGGCGCTAGCAGGCGAGTGAGGAAGAGCTGTCCTCGGAGTGCTTGTTACCCATCGATAACCAAGTTCTGCACTGGAATATAGTATTAGCATTGCAAAGGATGTAAAAGTATTTATTTGCTTTGTGTGTTGTTTATTGCGCAAAGGCAATGTTGGGGTCTGTTTCTCTTGGCTGCATTAAAGGAACAAAATACACAGGGAGAAATGAAGATGTTTTAAGTGGTGCTGAGAACATCCGAATAAATGAAGGGGGATGGGCTTATGAGTACCTTTTGGAGAAATCTGTTACAAGCGTTGATTGTACGAGACTGTAAAGTGTGTATCTGCAGGGCAGAACCGTGGGGCATGAAGTGGGAGGGGAAAAAGGAAGCAAAACCCTGTCCAATTTCAGAAAATAAAATTGTCCCCGAGATGAATGTATTCTCAGTGCAGTCCTGAAAGAAATGACCTCTGTGCTGGTTTGTGGATCCGGTTAGATGCAAATAAACCCTGAGATGTTCCGAGGAGTTTTACTCACAAATTAAAATTGATTTCCGTTTTTCAGACTGCGTCTTACCCTATAATTAATTTAGAAAAATTAGAAATGCTGAAAGTTGAACATTCCTTAAGGGTGGGTTTGGGGGGGGACTCACTTATGTAAGATTATAACTTATTCCTGGAGACCAATGCTGGCTGTACAGAATATCAAAATAAACTGCTATAATTCAGAAGGATGTTGGTGTGTGTCGTTGTAATGGCATCTGTGGCGTGGCAATGGGAAAAATGAAGTAGAGGTTTGGTGCACGAAGGAGATGAAGGTGTTGGGGCTGTGCGATTTGCTGCAGGAGTGCTTGAAAAGAGAGAACCTGATGAGTGGTTAATGAAGATTTAAAAATTTGGTAGTCTAATAGCTGTGCTTGGGAAGTGGTGTCCCCCAAAACAGGGATGCTCACGCGTGGCAGGGTGGGAGAAGGTTTTCCTGATGGCTGGGGGTGTCCCTTGATTTGAATTGAGGTGGTGCCCTGCTGCTGCACCAAGGGGCCTCGTTTTCAGCTCAGCTTCTTGGCTTCTCTCTGTTTCTTCAGCTTTCCACATGAAAGTTCAATATTTTGTGGTGCTTTTAGGAAGAAATGGGTGATTTTAGGAAGAAGTAGGAGACTCTCGTGGTTGTGAGCTCTGAAGCACTTGCCACACTCTATCAACAATTTGCTTTTAAGCAGTCAGATTTTGGCTAACAACTCTGTGAGAAGTTTGATGTGGGATCATCAAAACCGTAGAATCATTTTTTGTAGCCTGAGGTACTTCAGAGTCGGCTGAAGTGCTCCCGATCAGAAATCAGATTCACAGGTCTCAGCTTCAGAATCTTGCAGGATAGCTGTTACTCTTCCACAAGTGAGCATTTTGTCTGTTTTTTTGAATAAAACTCAGAATTTAATGTGGTTCTAAGTGCGGTATCTGTTGGGAGCTTAACAGTTGGTCATCTGTTCTGGTCACAATTCTGTGTCTGAGGAAGTGAAGAGCTTGGTGTGGCCTTTTGTTCTGGGGCAGAGTTTTGGCTTTGTGGTGGTTTGTGTTGGCCTGCGGTCAGTTGTGTGACTTCTTTCCATAAGAGGACTGAGGAGTCGTGGAATGTCCTCATAAATCAAGATGGCATGGGAAACTCACTAAGAAAATATGGATATTTGCTTAAAAATGCTTTCCTCCCCCCCACTTAAAATGCAGTGATGAGTGTGCATTTTTGGGAGTCCTGTGCATACCTTCTGCTAGCAAACGCCTTTTGGTTGTGTGACTTTTGGCCGTGTTTCAGGTGACAGAAGTAGCCAGGAGCAGATGGCCTTGATCCTGTGGGCTGAACTGGTGCTGCCTTGGATGTGGCTGGATTCCTCTCTGTGCACCTCTAAATCTGACAGCGAGCTGGAACGTGGTAGCTTTCCTCTCTGCTTACCAGTGATCTACATTTTTAAATTTCCTTAACGCACGGGTGTGTTTTCCAGATGGCAGCCTCAATTTTTTCCCCCTCTTCCATTTTCACTAGGGTGATGACAGCAGTGATGAATTAAAATAACACTCGACCTGATAATAGTTGGATCATACAAAACTAATTTTCTCTAAGTATTTGAGAGGTAACGAGCCCTCAGTGATTCCTGAACTGCTGCATTTCAATACTGGTTCTGGCTGAATCTTTACATGTTCCAAATAGCTCTGGATGCTGGCAGGAACACAGCTATATGTGCTGTACATGCTGCCATTCTCCAGAACAGAGCCGGTTCTTGCACAGTGCAGGTGATTTGGTGAAATTCGTACCCAGAAATTATTGAAATCTGCTCTAGGATCCTTTCTGCACTTACAAAACAGGTTTTTAAATGCTCAGGAGTCTGATGTGTTTGATTTCTCTAAGTGATAGTGGTCCACTCACACTAGGGTACAGTTCGGTTGAAAGGAAAATGAAGTGGTTAATGAGTACAAAAAGCTTTTCCTGCAGTGATGCTGAGGCCACTAATTTAGACTTTCAGCAGCTTTCTTCATACAGCTGTGTGATGCTGTACGTGTTGTGTGACTTCCCAGTGAATTCTCCCACCTCCCCACGAGAGGGCAAAGTCACCAGCACTGTGGGAGCCTTGACTTCGAATTTCCTAAGTGTTGTGCAGAATAAGTGTTTAATGTGAAACCTTCTCTGTTAGCATTTGCTTCCTGCCCTCTTGAAAAAAACCAAAACAAGCTAGAAAACCTCAACAAAACAGACGATTGTGCAGACATAGAATTTTTAAAGTATACTTCTTCATTTGAACGCTTGCTCCTGAAAATTTGGAAAATTATTTTCAGTGACGGTGAACTGAGCTGAGACGCCAAAATCACCTTAAAAGACAGGAAGGGATTTGAGAGGTTCAAACTAAAGGTCAGCGTTACCATTCCAGGTCTACTTTTTCCCAAACCTGCATTTCTTCCTCTTGGGTATCTATGAGCAAGAAACAGTGATATCATCAAAAGATTATTTAAAAAAAAACCAACAAACCAACAAAACAGCATCCATTGCAGTTCAAAAAACCAAACCAAAATAATTGAAAAGGGGTTTTAAAAGAAAACTTGTTGTATATTGCGAGTGCTGTTTGTTCTGCAATTTTACCAGCTCAATGAGCAAGGGTGTTGGTGTTTTCCTCCCATGCCTGCACTTGCAGCTGTGTTGTGAGCTGGGTTGTTTCATGTTTGCTTGATTTATTTTGTGTTTTTAATCCATATCGTCCTACCTATGTCAAGAGCTATATATTTACCTGCAGGCAGTGTTTGGATGGGGGATCGTATGAAAGTACAGCCTTGCCTGTTCTTGCCTTTTGCGTAGTGTCTGATCTTGTGAGCTCCCAGCTTCTGCAGCGTAAACTTTGGGGGGTTTTATCCAGAAACAGTGGGAGCGTTGCTGTGCGTGTAAATGAGCAACCACTGGGACACAACACCTTTATGCATCTACAGTGTTTTACTGCTCAGAGTGGGTGTTACATCCCCAAATATTTTACTGTATGTTTTGCAATGTGGGTTTTTTTTTAATTTGTTTTATTGTCCTTTCTTGAACTTTTGGTTTCAGGCTGTGAACCTGCTCTCGTTTGTATGTCTCTGCAGTTTTAGAGGCACACCCCAAAGCCAGGGGCAGATGTGAAAGCAGCTGTTCTACAACAGCATATGGGCTGCAGCTACAAAATGCCATTCTGTGGCAAACATTCAAGCTCAGTTGCAGACCTGCAGCAAGGCACACTGGCATCCTGCCTTCCCGGTGTTTAAAGCAGTCCCTCGGTGT